TGAATAGCAGAGTGAGTTTTATGATCCAAATCATTCTTATGTCATACGGTCTCTTTTATCAAACTCTCTCAGGACAAGAACAGCACGGGGTTCGATACAAAGCAGAGTTCCATGTGCACTGTACCCATCAAACACTCCCAGGACAGGGACAGCATGGGTGGGATATTGAGTAAAGCTCCCTCTATGCTGTTCCCATCAAACTCTCCCAGGATGGGGGCAGCACAGTATTCAATAGAGAGTAAAGCTGCCTCTACACTGTCCCCATCAAACACTCCCAGGGTAGGTACAGCACAGGATTGGATACAGAGTAAAATTCCCATTACTCTTTTAAACTAAAAGTAAACTGAACATATAGCTTCCTTGACACTATCCCCATCAAACACTTCGAAGACAGAGATAGCACGGGGTTAGATATGGGGTAAAACTTCCTCTACTCTTTTAAAACCAAAAGGAAAATGAAAATAAAGTTCTCTCGACATCATCCCCATCAAACTCTCCCAGGACGGGGACAGCCTAGGATTAAATATAGTGTAAAACTTCCTCCGCTCTTTGAACTGAAGGTAAACTGAAAGTAAAGCTTCTTCTACTCTTTTAAACTGTAAGTAAAGCTCTTCCCACTCTTTAAAAATGGAAAGGAAATGGAAAATAAATTTCTCTCGACACCATCCCCATCAAATAGTCCCAGGACAGGAACAGCATGCGGTTAGATACAGAGTAAAGCTGCCTCTACACTGTCCTCATCAAATACTTGTTAATATTTCTCTTGCCATGGTGAGTTCTTTAGCACAACTCAATGGAGAGGTAATTTTTAGAATGAATGTTTTTAAGCATATTAGGATATTTTACAACTGAGCAAGGTAAATAATTGTACTTCAGGGATTCTGTTAGAAATTCCTGAATTTGGTTTTGTTTTCAACATAGGGAAACACCCATAGCCTGAAAAAATGCACTTTTGTTTTAGTTTCAGTTTAAGGTCATTCTGCAGAAGTGTTTGGACAAAGCTGGATCTCTAAAACAGTGCTCCTAAAGAAGGAGAAGGGAGTTAAAATAGATTACCTTCGAGTGAGAAGTTTAGTAAGAGTTCCAGACCAGAAGTGTTTGAATCAAACATCTGAAAAAGTTATGTGAAGCTGACAACATTTAAGCTCAAGTGTATAATAGCTCCAGGGAAACATTATCTGATTTTCCAGGCGTTAGAGAAAAAGATTTGTTTCAGCTGGTGTGAGTACTTTATGAGTTCCTTTTGGTGCTGCACAGGGGTATTTTTTTGCATCTGTAAAGGAGTATTTTTAGGTTTCTACATTATCACTTGTTTCAAAATCTCTAAGTCTGTGTTATATGTGTAAATAGGAAGGCCTTATTCTGTTTTATCCTCACTTGTAAAATAAACTTCTGTTTTATTATTCAAACCAAATCTGCAGCATTGCATGTTCATGTTTCAATGACAGAATGCCTTGTTAAAACCTAAACAAGACAAACTATGATCTATGAACAATAATCCAGATTTCAATTTGGGATTTGACTTGTCAGTACTGACATCATCTGGGATCATAACAAATATAACTCATGAATGTTACTCTAACAGATTGAGAGAGACATTCAAAGGAAGATTGGGATAAACAAAGCATCAGGATCATGAAGACAGATAACAATGGGTAAATCCCAGAAATGGATTTCATACTTTAACCAAGTAAGCTGCCTTGATTCTTGATCCCACAAAGATCAACATTTGCCAGAGTCACCACCTCCACGGATGTTCGCGACGAATGCAGGAGAACAGGTCAACTTGGTTATAAATTATAATCTCATACAGCACCTTGTCACATCTTTTGGGACTGTGACAAAAAGTTTTTGACTGTAGATCCTGCTATTGATGTTTGCACCTGACCACTAGCCAGACTATCCATTAACCAACTGAGCATTTCCAGCATTTTCAGCTTTTACTTCAGTATTTTGTTTTTTTGTTTATCCGACAGATTGCCAAGTGGGATTTGGAAATAAAACCTGTCAATGTGCTATTCCTATTAATTTAAAGAATATTCATAGATGTTTACAGCACAGGAGGAGAACATTTGGCCCAGCATGCCCATGCCAGTCAGCAAAGATCTAACTACAATAATACTATTTTCAAGCTGTTGGCCCATAGCCCTGGAGGATGACAATACAAGTGAACATCTAAAAACTGCTTAAATGTTATGAGAGTTTCTATCTCAACCATTCCTTCCAAAAGTGAGCTCCAGATTTCCATCACCCGCTAAGTGAAAAAAAATTCCCTGCAACTCTCCTCTTAGGCTTGTATTTCTTGGCTTAAATCTACATCCCCCACTTATTGACTCCTAATGGAAAATGTGCCTTCCTATCCACCCGACTATGCCCTTATAATTGTGTACACCTCTATCAGGAATCCTCTCAATCATTATCGTTCCAAGGAGAACAACCAAAGCCTATGCAATCTTGCGCCAACAAAAGCAAGTATCCTATATGCCTTCTTAATCACCTTATTGGCCCACTCTGCTACCTTCAGGAATCTGTGGATACGGACACTGGTACCCCTCTGATCTTCGGGTCCTACCATTCATAGTATAATCCCTTGCTTCATTAGCCCTCCCTAAGTTCATTACCTCACAACTTCCTAGGTTGAATTCCATTTGCCACAGCTCTGCCCAGCTGACCAGTCTGTTGATATCCTCCCACAGCTTACAGCTATCCTCCTCACTATTTAGCACCCCACCAATTTTTATGTCATCCACGAACTTCTTGGTCATACTGTCTACATTTAAGTCCAAATCATTAATGTAACCACAAAAGAAAAAGGGCCCCACCACTGAGCTGTGCAGAACTCTACAGAAACAGAATTCCTGTTACAGAACATCCCTCTGCCATCACCTTCTGATTCCCGCTGGTCAGCCAATTTTGGATCCAATATGGCACTTTGCTTTGGATTCAATAGGTGGCCAGAGAGGATTTAAAAATTGCTGCCAAAGCTCCTGTACCTCCTCCCCACGAACTCCCTCAATAGCCTGGGATAAATTTCATCTGAGCGTGCGGATTTATCTAGTTTTAGGCCTGCTAAAACCCACCAGTACTT